TCCTCATTATTATGAGATAAGGACACTGTCTTTTCAATAATTCTAGAATACTAGCTATTGGGTATTATGCAGTTTTTGCAAGGAGCAAAAGCTTCTGAAACAAAATTTATCAGACATGGGGCACAGTGGGAATTGAAGAATTATATACAAGTACCTGGGTCTGCTCAGCCCTCTTTGCCTCATTTGCTATAATATAACAAGAGATCTCTAAAAATACCATAGGAAGAGACCCTGAGTCTCAGAAGACTCCACTACCGTGGGTGGTTTGTGTTCAGCTTCCCCTGCGGTTCCAGGCACTGTGGCAACCCAAGCACAGAAGTACTCAGCTGTATCACTCCAGTGCACAGAGGGTTTCCTCAGGTGGAAAGAAGATTCACTTTTCACAAATTCATCCTCAAAACCTTTAATGCCTTTGACCTGGGGGTCCCCTGATGAGTACTTGAGGAGACGTTGGAGGCCTTGGCGTGGGTACTGGACATACCAGAAGAGATAAAGACTTCCACCATGGGAATAGTTGCATCTCAACTCCAGAGAGGCTCCTTCAGAGACAGTGACATGAACATCAGGCTGGGTCACTGACTGAGCTCTGGCATCTCCTGAAAAATCAATGTTATATCAGTGAAAGCAATGCAGACTCCAGTATGAAAAGTAAGAATCTGTAGTCAGAATCTGCGGAACTAGAGACCATAAAGAAATTTTACTCACTCAGGGCAAAATGTATTCCCAGTACTGATATGAGCACCAGGAGCATGGCAGAACAGTGGAAATGCTGCAGGCTCTTTTCCAGAAATCTCTTCAGAATAATCAGGAAAGTGAATGCAGAAACCAAGATCTTGGAAATAGAAGGTGTGGGGAAGGTTCAGCTGGACAAGTCCCTTGCTTAGATAAAAATTCAGAAACTGCTGAAATGAACCTAGATGATTTTCGACCTCTGAGCCTTGTAACTTTTCTCTGTCTGCAAAGAACTCAGCCAGCTCAGGGAGGAGGAACTGAGCCTGTGATGCGGATCTTCAGCAGAAGCAAGATCTCTAGTTTGGAGGTCAGGCGCAGAACCAAAGGTCCTGAGGTCCCACACAGACCAATTAGTGTGTTCCTTCTGTTTTCTGAGATATAACAAGACTTACACCCAAAATGTTGCTTTCTTCCCAAACCAATGATAGTGTTTTAGCCCTA